CCTAGCCACCACAAGGACTATGCAAAAGCCACCAAACCCCAAACTAGACCCTCTCTCTAAACCTAGCCGGACACAAAAATTACTTAATCCCAAACCAACCCAAAGTTCCAACCTTAATCAACCCCTTTTGTGAAAAATTCCCTAATATTTGATTTCTCTAGTTGACAAGGACAGCCAAAAGTGTAAAAGTCTTCAGCTCCTCTGAAAGATGTGAATCTTTTAAACATTATAGGAGTACACGCCACCAAGGCACCGCTGCTTACATTGTAAGCAAAATGAAGAAAATCACTTAGAGAAAGGTTGGAGTAAGTGAACAATCTAGACTTGGGTCACCAAAGCCTCAGAGGACATCAGACTATACTGTTGTTCAGTGGCCAACAGTACAGCCATGGTAGACGACTTAATATTCTCAAAAGATTCATTCAATAACTTCCAGTTTGGGCATGAACCTTTACCACTGCCCCTTAGAAGGACCAATCAGAAATCATTGCCATAGCCACAAGAATCTCAATCAGTCAGAAGACTGGGCCTGCGGACCCTGGATTATAACGTCACAATTCAGCATTAAATTCAAGTGAAAATATTAGGAGCACTATAAATATCATAATTTGAATCTATCTTTAATTATACACATATCCCATTACTAAAATTGCTATAAAACAAATGTACAACTTCACAGGAATAAGCGAATGTTGGTAAGCATTAATAATACAAGATGAATAAAAGCAGACGTATCTGGTGGCTACAGCTCCAAGTTATTTTCTGTTCTGCCAAGTTATATCTGAGTAAATGTATAACTATTTTATATGATCAAATGAATAATTCAGTTTTCAGTCACGGCTAAGTTGTTAGAATATCACTTTAAAGTCTTTAGCTAGTGTATCTGTCAAGAAGGACTGAGTATACATCTGATGTTTTCTGTAAATGGGTCACTGGTTTCCAGAATTTCACAGGAAGTGTGTTTTCTGTGTTTCAGCCAATCACTATGATTTGCACATTGTAAAGCTTGTTTCTCTTGTGACCAAATCTTCCATCTGTCATCAGTTGTACGAGAGAAGGGTGCTGTACCACAAAGACTGGCTGCTTTGATTCTTCTAAGTACATTATGTGAGTCGCACTTCTTTGCTACTGTAAGACAGGTGCTAATGTAAACCACTGCTTGTAGCTAAACTGGCTCTACTTATGCATTTTTCACTATATTGCCAGTGTTTATGTTTTGTTTTCTTGTCTCTCTTCTTTAGCTCATACCCAAGCGGTTCCTCACCAGATCCCTGTGACTGTGGCAAACTCTAGTGACGATGTGACTCTGACATGTCCAGTCTACGGGGATAGAGCCGGGTTGTTTTATTGGTATAAGGTGAAATGCACACTGCTTGTAGCTAAACTGGCTCTACTTATGCATTTTTCACTATATTGCCAGTGTTTATGTTTTGTTTTCTTGTCTCTCTTCTTTAGCTCAAACCCAAGCGGTTCCTCACCAGATCCCTGTGACTGTGGCCAACGTTAGTGATGATGTGACTCTGACATGTCCAGTCTACGGGGATAGAGCCGGGGTGTTTTATTGGTATAAGGTGAAATGCGGATATATGGTCCAAATAGTTGCTGAAGGAACGTTTGCTAAAGTAACACTGAAAAATCAATTTGACAACTCAAGATTCACAGTCATAAGGATGGGGACTCAGTATCACCTTAACATCACAAATGTACAAAAAGAAGATGAAGCAACATATTTCTGTCAGTCTGGATCAGCATACGCAATGCATTTTACTGAAGGCACATATTTGGCTGTGAATGGTAAAGTATGTTAACTTCAGTGTTTTTGTTTGTTATGTCTTTGTCAATACTCAAACAACTATAGTTTGTCTTTTTCGTGAACCACACAGATCATAATAATCAGCAGAAATCTGTCTATGTGAAGCAAAGTCCAGAAACCGTGTCGACCCAGCTGGGCGGCTCAGTGACTCTCCAGTGTTCACTTCTCTCCAAGAGCCAAGAAAACAGAGTCCGGTGTCCAGGTGAACACAATGTGCACTGGTTCAGAGCTGGATCAGGATACTCCCATCCAAGTGTCCTTTACACTCACAATGACAGCAGTGATGAACAAGAGCAGAGAAGCTGTGTCTACAGTTTGTCCAAAACTGTACAGGACTCTGACAATGGGACTTACTACTGTGCTGTGGTCACATGTGGACAGATCCTGTTTGGGGAAGGAACTAAAGTGGAGATTAGTACGTATTTAATGTTTTCATAATTTACAGATAATTGCATGCACTTATTTAACTTGGTTAAGTTATATATACTATATATAAGTTATATATACTATATATACCAGGATGTTTTTAGGATGTTTTTCAGAATCAGGAGATAAGAACGTATTTAATGTTTTATTATCTATTACTTTCTAAGCACAGTGTTGGTAATAGGAAAAATAATCTGCATATAATAACAGTATATTTAGTTTCTTTCCCTTGTTTATCTCTTCAAGCAGGTAAACTGTATCATTGTTTTAGGAAGTTACGGATACTCAACAATATAAAATCTGTTAAGATCAACTCTTAGCTATTTCATATCTAACAGTTAAAATCACTTTACCAGGAGGTGTTATTAGATATAAATCATTTTACTTACTGTTTCTTCCTTTTCGTGATGTTCCAGGAACCAACATGTGGTCACCAAAAATTATTTTCTTCTTGGCTCTAAGTCTGATTGTTACAGTCTTCATTTGTACCATCAAGTGTGATTGTTCCAAGGGTAATAGAAGTAATTTTTTCCTACACAACAATATTATGTTGAAAGTTCTGCATCCTCATTGTTATCTATATATTTTTGTGTTTCATAACCCAGCTTCTGTCGCTCAACAGAAAAACAGCAGTGGTCAGGAAAATCAACAGGTAAAGTATTTAAAGGTGGATTTTAACCTTAACAAAAGTCAAATCCAATTTTTTATTTTTAGTTTGTTGCCTTGTATCTGTCCTCAGAGAGATGAAGACACATGGGTTTATTCTGTGGTCGTCTTTACCGTGATGAAAACTGACAGTTACGCAAGAAAGGATGCAAAAGCAGCGGAGAAAGTGAAGATCTACACTACTGTGAAGACTTTTGGATTGGATTAGTGAGCTACCAGGCCTCTGCTGGTACTGTGTGATGTAGCTGATGTTTGGAGCTAATGGCTTTGTAATATGTGGCTATTAGGCAGTGTACAAATTATGCTGTGCTTCATTTTAATGTTTCAATTACATTTTGTTGTTATATTTAAAAGAAGTTAGATTTTATGTATGTTTTTCAATCATTTTTGTGCAAACTTTGAAAACAGATAAACAAGACAGAAACCATGTCTCCACTTCATGTTTGGATGGGGACCTTTGGTCCGTCTCTCTTCTGTCTGTCTTTTGTTGTGTTTTCATGATGAGCTGCAGTGCAGAAATAGTAACATAAAAAGGAATTCATGACTCTACTGTACCCACATAGTTTCACCCCCTCAGACTGGGGAAGCCTCGTATTAGCTCGGCTGAACTTTGAAATATATTTTTTTCATAGAAGGTATTAATGTGATCAGAACAGTCCAGTCAACCATATTGTCATTACGACCATTTCTACTTGTATTTTTGTCTTTAAAGCTCTGATTTCAAATGAAAACTATTTTTTAAAATCAGATTCAGTAATGAGCAGATATGTCATTGTTTGAAACAAATATCAATATAGTAAATTGTCTTTCATAACAACCCAAATGTGTCTGATTCATTTTTTATAAAACCAGCAAGCCAAGATTAATTTTTCATAAATAGGTTGCCTATGTGCTATGATTTAGTTTTTTCATGAAACAGCTTCTTAAAAACATTAGAAATGAAATGCAACATTCAGTTATTTATTCACACTGTCAGAGGTACAATAAAGACAACGATTCAGTGTGTGGTGAAACGAGCAACATTTTTAAAAGTGGTTCAAAAGTATTAAGAGAGTCTTGAATCAGAGGCTAAAATAAGTGAAATTTAAATCTTATTGAATTCAAGTTGGAAGTTTTAATTGATATTTTAACTGAAGCTTAGCAACTCTTGAAAGGCTTTTGTAACATTTGAACTTTATGAAAGTGGATCACATTATTGCCTGTTACTAACAGTTATGACTCACTCTATACAGGATCCATAATCAATTCCATGAATACATAGCAATACATTCTCTCATCTTCTTGAATCGTCCTCTCAGTGGTCAGTTTGCTAAGACTGCCATCATCATTTACCTTTAGTCTGGATTCAGGAAACTCTGGTCTATATTTAGGGTATGTGGATTTCTGCGATATGACAATTAATTTCAGAATATACCCATCATGCTGCTTGTACCAGTGGGCTTTTGTATGGCTGACTGCAGTTTTAGGTAGGACACATGTGAAGGTTATGGGTTCACCAAGTTGAACTATTATCACTGGAGTCAGTGTATCTCAATCAAGACAACATGTGAAACTGTCAGTAACAACGATGCAGAAGATTTATACAAAAATATACAAAAAATATACAATATAAACCGTCATATAGCTAGGTTCATTTTAGGTATGACATTGACGTGTATCAAATTTCATGGTAATGCATTCAGTAGTTGTGAAGACATCTCACTCAATGGCACAAATATAAAACGCATGGTGGTAATGAAGGAAACATTAGGGGATCACCAAAGTCATTAAGATTCATCCTCTGGGCACCATGAATATCTAAGCACAGGCCTGTAAGAAATACGTTATATGAACATTCCCTGTGGAGGTTCATTTCTGGGCTCACTGATTTTTAGCCTAAAGCTGTGCATTTACATAACCAGCTTTTGTCTGGACCTCTCTCATGATAGTCTGGTGCAACACACCAGGCCCTACAGTGATGTATGTCATACTCAGAGCAGTGTTGCGTAAACTATCAAATTTGTTACACTTTGACCATACCTGTGATGACCTTCAGCTGAAGAAGGCTCCTGCTATGCTTGAACTGAGTCAGTGCACACCTCTGATTTTTGATCAAGAGCATTCATACTTCTATCTCAGTAAAAATTGTAAGCATCACCATTCTTCCTAGAAAGACAGTCTATAGGCTCCACCTTAGGCCTACCTTCACTTTCTTCTGTTTATAGTGATCTGTAATGCATGTTCAGGAATAAGCTTTAAATTTGCCACATTTTCTCAAAACTAGACTGCATGTTAACAGACGAGCAAGTTAGTAACCTTAAAATGTGAAAAGAATAAAGTGTGATTTTATTACTTGCCAGGTTGTTCATGAATTGATTAAGCATGACCTACAGTCACACTTTATTAAACTAAAAGGTGTTTCCAAAATAAACATTAATCTTTGTTAGATGGCAATATAAAATACAGAATACTTCAACAAGGTGTGTACTCAAATGTAATAGTTTTGTGGGGTTTTTTTCATCATAGGTTTGGTATCTCATTATATTTGTCTGTTAAGATGGAAGGAACACATCTACACACCCACCCATTTCCTTTCAGCGCTTTACACTGACATGACAATGACACACAAATGTGGGTCATAGAGGAGGTTACAGGCTTAAATATACTGTAGAACAATACCTATACATCCAGTACAATTACATACAGATACTTAGGAGACTTCCCACAGTTCATTTTGATAAAAACTCCCCAAGAAGAAAACTGTGTGAGATCCCTACTGTGCAGGTTTCTTGCCAAGCTTAATTTATATTTAGTTATTTTGTGTCATTGTGTCTTTATAAAACATACATATACATGTTCAGTTAGTCCAAAGTATAAAAGATATTTTGCTAACTTCAGAGTTTAAATTATATTTGCATCATTTAGAAAATCCAGAGGTGAGACCATTAATCCAACCCAAGGTCTCTGACATCAGTGTAGATACTCTCTTCCTCCAGTCGGTTTGCATCCCTTCTCTCTGCTTTACTAGATGTTCTACTTGTGAAGGTTGGTGCAGAATAAATCAGTAAGTCCTCATCTACCTGAGGAAACATAAAATATAAGATTAATATTTACACATACAGTAGATCTAAAACATGTTCATTAATTTTCTAGTTAATTTTTTTTTCTGTACTTTACCTGCTGACTTTCTTGATTACCACGAGTTGCTGCATTTGTTTGTAGTGCAACGTCAGCTATATTATAAAATAAGAACACAGGGCTAATGTAAAAATAGTTTTGCCAAATATAGTTTGACTGACTGAAGTATGAGCGACTACTCTTACCATGACTACTACCACAGGATTGTTTCTTCAGTTTCTTGATTGAATAAAGGAGAAAGGCTATAACAACCTGACTTACAGCCAATGCAGCACATAACAGGAAGACAACTGCATTTTCCTTCTGCCAGCTATGCAGTGCTGTCACATTATGTAAAGGGACAAATAATGAAAATTAATAATTAGTAAAAGTGTAATTAAGAGTGATTTATCATGCTTAATAAGGTTTTACAGTACATTAACAACAAATATTTGATCCTAGTCAAACAAACATATATGTCGGTTTAATCATTATATACAAATATGATCTAGTTACCTTCAATGTCCAGTTTTGTTCCATTTCCAGAAAATATCTCCTCACATGTGGCCACAGCACAGTAACACGTCCCAGCATCAGAGGAGCTGATGTTCTTGAAGAAGCTGTAGACACATTTCTTTCTTGAGAAGCCCTCAGGGTTCCTTTTGTATTCATCAAAGATGTGAGTGTGATAAAAACCTTGGTGAGACTGATGTGATCCAGCTCTAAAACAGCAAACAGAGTTTTCTTCTGAACAGGTTTTGTTCTCAGAGTCAGAGAGAAGTGAACACTGCAGAGTCACAGAGTCTCCTGGATGGCATGGAGCAGGTGAAGGATCAGCAGTGACATCAAGTTCTGCTCCTGAAAATTAAACAACAACAAAAAATGTATGCAAAAGACAGTTTATCAACTTTATGTGCATGTAAGGAAACTGATGTATAAATTCATCATTAAGTAATCTACAAAAGATACTGGCTGTTTGTCTAAATTTACCTTCAACTCTCAGCGCTGTTCCTTTCAAAAATATTGAAGATTGTTGTTGTTGTGTTTTTATACAGAAGTAGAATGCAGTATCACTTAGCCGTGCTTTTGTAATGCGTAGAACAAATGTTCCGGGCTCTTTGCTGGTTGTAATGCGAGGATGCACGGTCTCGAGGCTAAATGACTTCCCTAAGACTTCAGGAAGGTTTCCAGAAGCAAGCCTGACCCAAAACAAGCTTCCCACTCCCTTGCGGGTACAGGTCAGGTTCACATCATCTCCAATGTGAACAGTCTCTGTCTCAAAAATCTGATCTTCTCTGCATCCTGGAAAGACATTAAACAGAGCATTGAAGAATCATATACACCTTCTTCTTCTATTACTGTGAAAGACAATACAGTACATTAAACATATTTGTGCAGTAAATCCAATCTCTCTACTTATACTTACGCCCTACTTTAAGCATCAACAGTAAATAAAATGTAAACCACATTTTCTGGTTATTCCACTTGAGACTGCAGTAATTTAAAATGTATTAAACAATGATTCACCCAAATGTAATCATATCAAGTGGGAGGGCACAATTTCAGAGCAATCTGATTGGCTTCTCATTATGGTGGGGTTTCACTGTATTACATCAGTGGAAATAATCTAAACCATCTTTCCAGTCTAAACACATGAAACAACGCCATCAAGGTTTTGTTTCATGTTTCAAGGTGGTTTTCTGTGACTGACACAGTAAACACAACAGATCAGTTCACAATATCACTGCTATGAAAATTAACAGCAAAACAATTTTTACATTGTGGTTGTGATGTCCTTGATGACCTTGATGTGAACTAATCCTCCAATAAAAACTTTTATTAAATCCTATGATGTTAAATGAGTCAAGAAAATACACCACATTTTTCTCCACACAAATTTGAGGAAGAGGACAATTCAATGAAAATGCAGCATGTCTGTGTTGTCTCTTGTATCTTTAGTGCGTTGGTACTATTTGTTGTGGCACTGCCACATTTAAGTCCTCAACTTTACACTTCATATTTGATCTATACTGATAGCTTGTGGCCTTTATCTTGCAGGGCACTCCTGTAAAACAAAAAGAAGCTTTTTAATGTCATGGCGACACGGGGGAGGACTGACAGAGTCAGAGCTAACAGCCATGAGAAAGTACCATCAGACTTTCCTTTTCTCTACCAGGGAGACAGGAAGTCTGGCGTAGCTGTGACAGTCACTGCAAGCATGTTTATGTCCGTTTGAGGGAGCCAGTGGGTAGGTATCTGTGTTGTAGCTGAGCGAGTGATGCTACTACAAGTCTCTCCAGTGTGTTGCTCTGTGCCAGTTGGGGGCAGTGGAAACAAGCTGTGAACACAACACTGACGTTTT